AGTGTTTATTATATACAGTGTAGGGGGATTTATATACATATATGGCAGTCCTCCGGCGATCAGATGTAGGCGTCGGGAACCAGGGTAGGGCGGAATGTACAAGCAGGTCTGGCTGGAGAAAACAGGACGACAGGACTGGCAAACAGAATCCGCTCGACGAGTCTGGCAGATGAGTGGCTCGACAGGTCTGGCAGGCAGGTGGTTGACGAGGCAACAAGGATGGAGTCAAACAGGCAGGGTACTGCGGGCATAAAGAACAAGATAAGAGTATATCGTGTACTCACACGTTTAGGCTGGAGGCATAAATACCAATAAAGCTCAATGCTCCAGCGATGAGTCACACAGGACTGCAGCCTTAAGTAGAGGTGTTCCTCATCATGTGGATGACCGTCAGCTGGTGTTAATTAACGGCCATCTTGGAGGAAGGCTGCAGACATTTGGACTCCTACAGTACCCCCCCCCTCAAGAATCGCCCCCAGGCGACCTGTGGCGTTTCTCAGGGTGGGCTTTAAAAAAGCTGGAGATCAGGCTGGGATCTAAGATGAACGATCTGGGGATCCATGACCTCTCCTCGGGACCGTAGCCCTCCCAGTCAACCAGATATTGGTAACCACGGCCCCGGCGACGGACATCCAGGATGGTCCTGACAGAGAAGGCCGGGTGGTTATCGATAAATCGGGCGGGAGGGGGGAGGTCGGCAGGCGGGCTCAAGGGACTCTCATAAACTGGCTTGATTTGTGACACATGAAAAGTTGGGTGGATCTTCATGGAGGTTGGTAACTGAAGGCGGACTGCAGATGGGTTGATGATTTGGTTGATGGGAAACGGGCCCATGTATCGGGGCGCCAGCTTCCTAGGGGTGCCTTTGATATTAATGTCTTTGGTAGAAAGCCATACCTTTTGGCCCACCTGGTATGGTGGTGCTGAGGAGCGATGGCGATCGGCGAACCTCTTGTTCTGGGCTGCCGAACGCAGTAGAGCTGTCTTGGTTTGACGCCAGACTCATCGGCAACGGCGAAAATGATGCTGGACAGACGAGACTGAGATGTCGGCTTCCTGACTGGGGAACAGGGGAGGGATGTAACCAAGGGATGCCTCGAACGGTGACATCCCTATTGCCGAAGACCTGTGTGTGTTGTGGGCATACTCCACCCAGACCAAGTGCTGGCTCCAGGCTGAGGGGTTGCATTCAACAACGCATCGGAGGGTGGTCTCAAGCTCCTGATTACATCGCTCAGCCTGGCCGTTGGACTGAGGGTGGTAACCTGAGGTAAGGCTGGTGGCTGCCCCCAATGTCTTGCAGAAGCTTCGCCAGACCTGCGAGATAAATTGAGGACCCCTGTCCGAGACGATATCAGAGGGAATGCCGTGAATGTGGAAAACATGCTGAATGAGTGTTTGGGCTGTCTCAAAGGCAGAGGGGAGCTTAGGCAGGGGGATGAAATGGGCAGCTTTAGAGAAACGGTCTATGACTGTGAGTATGGTGGTGTTACCTTCGGACGGAGGCAGACCCATAACGAAGTCCACAGATATATGTGACCAAGGGTGGCTGGGGGTGGGTAGAGGTTGTAGAAGTCCGGCAGGTGGTTGGTTACCAGTCTTATTCCTGGCACAGGTGGGGCAGGCTGAAACAAAACTCTTGACATTGTGATTGAGAGTGGGCCACCAGAAATGGGTCTTGACGAGGGAGAGCATACGAGAGATACCAGGGTGACAAGAAAGCTTATGGGAGTGTAGCCAATCTAGTACCTTGGCCCTCATGGTTGAGGGGACGAAAAGTTTCCCAGTAGGAGCGGTGCCAGGTTCATCCTTTTGTGCCTCCAGGACCTCCTTTTCGATGGACCAGGTGAGGGCCCCTACGACACACACTGGTGGGATGATACTCTCCACCGTCTCTGGATCACTCGGGGGAGAAAACTGTCGGGAGAGCGCATCAGGCTTGATGTTCTTGGAACCAGGCCTGAAAGTTAAAACATAGTTGAATCGGTTGAAGAAAAGGGACCATCGTGCCTGTCTGGAGTCAGCCGCTTTGCATCTCTTAGGTAGGTGAGGTTCTTGTGGTCGGTCCAGATAAGGAAAGGCGTAGCAGTACCCTCCAACCAATGGCGCCACTCCTCCAGGGCCAGTTTGACCGCCAACAACTCACGATTACCTACATCATAATTCCTCTCCGTTTGTGATAAACGCCTAGAAAAGAAGGCGCATGGGTGTACTTTATTGTCTTCTAGGGACCGTTGAGAGAGAACAGCACCCACACCAGTGTCCGAGGCATCAACTTCCAGAATAAACTGGCGTTTAGGGTCAGGATGACACAAGACGGGAGTAGAGGAAAAAAGTCTCTTGAGCTTACCGAATGCAGCACCAGCCTCAGGAGTCCATTTGTAGGTTTGGTTGGTTGATGTAAGTTGTGTGAGAGGTGAGGCGATGTGACTGTAGTCCTTAATAAATCGCCTGTAGAAATTGGCAAAACCCAGAAAACGTTGGAGCTGTTTCCGGTTCTCGGGAACAGGCCAGTCCTCCACAGCCTTGGTCTTTTCTGGGCCCGTCCTGTAACAACCCCTCTCAAAGATAAAGCCCAGAAATGATACAGAAGGTACGTGAAATTCACATTTTTCTCCCTTGACAAAAAGTTGGTTTTCATAAAGTCTTTGCAGTACCGTACGAACTTGTTTTACATGTTCCTCTTCATTGTGAGAATAAATGAGAATGTCGTCTAGGTATACGAAGACGAAGTGGCCGATAAAATCCCTGAGTACATCATTGACTAGAGCTTAAAATACTGCCGAGGCATTAGTCAACCCGAAAGGCATCACTAAATATTCAAAATGTCCAAGCGGGGTCCTGAAGGCTGTTTTCCACTCATCACCCTCTTTAATCCGGACCAAGTGGTAAGCGTTTCTTAAATCAAGTTTGGAAAAGATTGTAGCAGATTGGAGGTGCTCATGAATGGAGTCAATTAAAAGTAAGGGGTACTTGTTTTTAATAGTGATGTTGTTTAGACCTCTGTAGTCAATGCAGGGTCGGAGGGTCTTGTCTTTCTTGGATACAAAGAAGAACCCCGCACCGACTGGAGAAGTGGACGGGCGAATTATACCAGAGTCGAGAGATTCCTCGATATATTTCTTCATGGACTCCCTTTCTGGTCCTGATAGATTGTATAGTCGACTGGCTGGTAACGAGGCCCCAGGGAGGAGGTCGATGGCACAGTCGTACGGGCGATGAGGTGGTAGGGACAGAGCGCTTTGTTTATTAAATACAGGAGCAAGGTCGTGATATACAGAAGGAACAGAAGACATGTCAGCTCTTTCTAAAATTTTAGTCTCCACAGGTCGGTTGGAGACTGCAGAGCGTAAACAATGTTTTAAGCAATTATCACTCCATTTTTCTATC